ACGCCGATATTTCGGAGGGGTTTCCGATTAGAAATTTCAAAGATTTCTCTGATGTGTGGGGTTTCTCTGAGGAACTGGGTTCCTCATTAGAATAATCCCGAACAAGTAACACATCGACGAACGGCAGTAACAAATCCCAGCGATGCGGGGGAACGTCCCCAATCCGCCCACCCGCGTGCCGCCAACCCACGCACGTATCGGCGTGCGAGAGTGGGGGCGTGTGGCGCGGTACGTTGCCTGCTGCGCACATCCCACACAACCAGCCCCACCGCACATCGCCAGTCATGGTGACGTGGCAATATCGCCAATCCGCCCCCCCCGCGAGCTCCAGGCACCAGCACCAGCGCCGGCAAGCCGGGACACCCAGTACGCATGCATCGGCATACGAGAGCGGGGGCGTATGGCACAGTACGTCGCCTGCTCGCCAGTCCGCGCTCCCCCAGGAAGAAAAGCTGGGACTACCGACGCACCCGCGCTGTATCGACGCAGCCGCGACTCGCGCCTCCGCCTCCAACCCAGCCAACCCAACCCAGCAGCGCTCCCCTGCATCTTAGCGGAAGGAAGGAAGGAAGTCCGTGGAAGGAAAGTTGGGTTGTACCACCAACCCCCGCGGACGCACGCAAGTATCTATTCAAATTTCAATTCAATTTCAACGTGCAAGTGCCAAGTCTCATATAACTTACTATTAGTATAAGACCGACCCAGGCACGATACGGAGTCCAATTAAGGAAGATATAATCATTCGCGCGGAGTTTCAATTATTTGTTCGGAACACATAAATCCATGGGACTGGCTCGTCATCGCACGACCCAGGCGAGTTGGAGAGTCACCGTAAAAGGCAAGGGGTGGTGATCAAACCGGCAAGTTTGGGGGTCAGTACAAGGGGTGGCGAAGTAAAAAGTGTCGGATATCAACTACCAAAAACCTCCTGTCAGGACCCCGGAACTCGCTCGACCACCACCAGTCGGCAATCATCTGGAACAGTGGGCCGTGCCTCCGGGCCAATAGCGAAGGGGATCAGATCAGGCATCAGCGATACATCAAACGCGCTTGCGCCGAGTTTCGTTTTGCAACTTGTATGTGTCCCCAAAGATCCAGTACCTAGCTACGGTATGCTTATACCATTATAATTAAGTTTTGTTACTATTCTACTCTCTCTGGAATGCAACTTTCCCGATTTAATCGGTGAAAGCACTGAACTACCTGGGTCCCAGAGACTCTGAGAAAGGTAAAATGGGTTGTTGAGGTAAACAGGAGGTAGGGGGGAACAATATCGTGGATGTGCATGTAGTTGGCGATGTCTAAGGCCGTTCGAGTGCGCATTCACGTCGCGATACGTGTTGTTGATACTTGTTGATTTTGTCTCGGCAAATCCCGTTTCTGCTTCCTCCGACCGTAGATTTTCAGGCAACTTCAAAATAGTTACATGGATGGACTCAGGGAATTAATTGGAACAAAATAGATATCTAAAATTGGTGCTAGAAGCCCAGGAAAAAAACCTTCGCAAAACCGAGGCAAAAAGTGGTTTGCTAGGACCCCGGATACTCGATCAGGTAGGTCACGGTAGGAGTCGATGTCCGGAATTAAGGTTTTCGCCACCCCTTGGGTCAGTAAGACAGCATCAAACAGAGGTAAGCAAAAATCGAGGAGGACCACTCCATCAAAACCTGCCCACTGTTTTTGAAAAGGGCTGTAAGAAAAGGTTTTCAGCCGCAGGTCATCTATGCAATTCATAGGCCGCCAGAAAGTATTTTCAGGGAGAAGTTTCGTTCGTATGTACGTACACATGCAAGGTGAGGGAAGGAGGGGACACTATGTAGTACACATCTTAAAGCTATACACTCACTCGGATAGCTACAACGATCGCATGACAAGCCCCTCGCCGGTGAATAATCAATTGGACAGAAAAATCGCCCCCACAAAGAAAAATGTGCGTCCCTACACACCGCGAAATAAAAGAGAAGACATGCTTGGAGAAAAAAGAATGGACGGCCCTCCAGAGGAAGGAAGGAAGAAAAGAAAACACCGCGCGACATCGCAGCCACCATGCGCACAAATGCCGCACCGATGTCCCCACGCGTCAGCCAGCCAGCCAGCAGCACATCGCCTAGCCAACGGGCCGCCCTCTACCTGCTAGGACCGGCAAGGAAGCACGCAAACAAGCCCGCACATCGACGAGCGGCAGTAACACTTCCCAGCGATGCGGGAGAACGTCCCCAATCCGCCCGCGCGGCACCGACGTACGTATCAGCGCGCGAGAGCGAGGACGTGCGGCTCAGTACCTCGCCTGCTCACCAGCGCACATTCCCACCCCACCAGCCCCAACAAAAGGAATCGTCGTGCGGCAGCGAAGGGGGAGAATATCCCAATGCGCCCGCGCGCCACCGATGTACGCGCCAAGCAAACCGGGACACTGACGCGCGCACGTATCAGCGCGCAACCGACGCACCCGCGCGACGCTGATCGACGCTCGCCGCCCAGCGGACGCAGCCCATCCGTGCCCCCCTGCATCCCAGCAGAAGGAAGGAATGTTGGGTCAGGTCATACCGCCCCCGACGCCCCCGTCCTACCAAAGCGTAAACACGGACGCAAGTGTCCATCCGCGCCAGAGCACCGGGACGGTCGCGCCGCCTCCACCGCGCATCCCGCCCCATGCGCGTTCCCCGCATCGCAAGGAAGGAAGGGGTTGGGCTCAGGTCGTATCGCCCCCGTCGCACCCGCGCACCTCCCCGCGCAGACCGCCACTGTATCCCATCGGAAGTAAGGAGGGGCGTACCCCCACCGACGCACCCGCGCTGGATCGACGTGGCCGCGTACCGCTCCCGATGCGCACGCGGCGGTTGGGCCGCGTCGCACCATTCCGTACCCGCGCCGCCGCGCACCCACACTAGATGTGGATCCCGCCTCCCCCGCGCAGCCCACCCAGCCCATCCCCGCCCCGCGCCACAGCATCCCAGCAGAAGCAAGGATAAGCTGGGATGTACCGCGCCGCCCCCGCGCTATATCGACGGACATCGCGCCTGCCCCGCCCAACTCAGCCTTTCCACCACCGACGCAGCCATTCCCCGCCCCCCGCCTCTCAACGAGGAAGGAAGGGAAGGCCGGGGGCGCCCGCGCCCACGTCGCGCTGCACCCGCATCGTCGTGCACACATCACACTGACAGCCCACGGAACGCGCCCCCCCCCCAAAAAAAAAGAAGAAAACAAAAAAAGGCGCACAAAAGCTCCCCGACCCCGAATGCAGGGCGCGCGACCGACGCCCGAAGGCGAAAGGCAGCCAAACGCGTCATGCAAACCAATCAGGCATGCACGGTGCTGGTACGAGGCGCGCAGGCCTCTGAGGGGACGAGTCTGGGGGGGTGGGGAGGTGGATGAGCATGATGGGGAACGGGAGAAGGGAGAAGGGGCAGGGGTGTGCTGCGAAGCGAACGGGGGAAGGAGAGAGAGAGCGGAGAGGGTAGGAAGGTGCGGGGCAAGATGAGGTAGGGTACGTGGAGACGACGTAGCTGGGGATGGGGATGGAGAGGGAGCGGAGGGAAGATGGGAAGGGGGATGCACACGGACGGAGAAGATCGGTGGTGGCGCACAATAGAGAGAACGGACGTGGGCGGTGGGGGCGGGGCAACAGGCGCGCGACTTGGGATATGAGGGAGAAAGGTAGATGAGGGAGGGGAGGAGAGCGGGACGAAGAAGGCATCCTCCGCCCCACCGACTCCGCATCCACCAGAAAACAGCATGACGAGTCTGCATCTCCGCACATCCGCGAGCGGTGCGCGCGCCCCACATCTCCAACACCAGCACCAAGACACAGCGCCTTGTTGCATCAGCGAGGCACGCCGCCTCTGCCGCACCAGCGACGCAGCCATATATACATGCGCATCGACGAAGCCCACCCCAATCGCCGCCTCTGCGTCGCATCACGAAACCCTCTTTATGGCGCATCGACGAGGCGTGCGCTAGCACCGCACCGATGCTCCGCTGCTTTGGAAGAGGAAGCACAGTGGCCACGCGGGGACGCACAAAGGCGGCGCCCCAATCGCGCCTACCGTACGAACGATTGCGGCGCACGGCACGAACAATCGCGACGCGCGGACGAACGAGCACGCTCCATTCCGCCAGCCAGCACGCACCACCACACCGACGGACGGTCCACGCACGTCGCCGATCGTCATGCCCCTGCCGACGCATCGCGCCATCGGACTCGCGCGCCGACATCGCACCATACCGATACTGACGCAGCCGCGAATATCATACTGACGCCCCGCAGCCAAGGAACCAGCCGATGCACCCTAGATAGTCGGCAAGTCTGCAGGGGTGGTTAGCGCGGGGAGACGAGAAAGAAAGAAAGAAAAGATAAAAGTAAAATGAGCCTTGAAAGCAGCAGGCACGGGGGTATGGAAGTGGGAGAGGACGGGAGAGGAGGAGGGAGAGAGGACGGGCGGATGGGATGGACACGAAGGGGAAAGAGAGAGCGGGAGATGGTGGAGGTGATGGAACGAAGGGCGGTGGCGAGGCCAGTAAGTCCATAGGGAATGGCAAAAATACAGAGAAAATTTTGAGAAAAGTACGACGAAATGGATGGATGGATGCGTCGCAAACATATATAACAAAAAAGCGCAGACGCACCTTTACGGGAATGACTGTCTGTTGCGCCGAGGCTGGAGAGCGGGCCCTCGATGCCGTGGAGCGAGAGCGGGGGCAGGCAAGAGTGTGTTGTCGCTTGAGTAAGTAGTCAACAAGTAGTATCGGGAGGGTCTCAGCAACTCCAAGGCCAACGAGGACGCAGCTCCGCGTCGACGGCGCGCGATGAAAGGTCGGTGGAAGCGGATCACAAATCAGGACTGCCGGATTAGGCGATGTTCACACGATATAAATCAACTAGCTTGAGACAGAGTACAGTACAATAACTCGTGGGTGCATAAATTCAGTGGGTTGGAACTATAATTTTCTTCGTTCATGGAGCTCGAGAGACAAAAAAAAAATCTACTGTCAAGGAGACATGGCCCAGGCTCGAGTCGAACGAGCTACTTCTGCGTACAAAAGTATCTCTTCCGTAAGTTATGCAGACGCGGACCATCCGCCACTGGGCCTATATTTATGTACCCAGGAACTCAATTGGGTTGGTTCAATTTGAACCTTGAGCTGAATAAAAGAATTCCTGAAGAAGCAAAGCAATATAACCCAGGCCCAATTCGAACAAGCTTGCTCTAGTCTGCTTACTGCAGTGCTGGTCTTGCCAACAAAGTTTACCAGACGCGGAATCATCCGCCACTAGTCCTTTATCTCCTCCTTTTAAACCTTAATAAATGGGTGAATTTTGATGAATTAAATAAAGAGCACTGAAGAATGGCCTAGGCTCGAGTCAAACAACCACTTCTGCTTAATCTTCCAAGAATCGCAGACAGGGAACCTTCCGCCACTAGGCTATATCTCTATACCCAGGACTCAGTTGGGTTCGATTTGAATCCTGATTGGAAAAAAAATGAACAAGCAAGAGAATGTATGGCTCAGGCCCGATTCGAACGAGCTTGCTCTAGATCTGTTTACTGCCGTTCCTGCAAACAAAGTTTAGCAGACGCGGAACCATCCGCTACTGGGCCTTTATCTCCTCCTTTGAAACCTTAATAAATGGCTGGATTTCAACGAGTTGAAGACAAAAGAAAAATTCTTTTGGAGCCACCTATGGCCCACGCCAAGCTAATTCTGCGTACACAGGTATGTCCTTCATTAAGTTTCATTATTTATTGCAGCCGCGGACCATCCGCGATTGGGCCTATATTTCCGTACCCAGGAACTCAGTTGGGTTGGTTTAATTTGAACCTTGAGGTGAATAAAAAGAATTCCGTTTGGAACAGATTTGGGGAAGAAAAATGAGCTGAACGCGAGCTGCATGGCCTAGGCTCGATTCGAACGAGCTCCTTCTGCTTGAATACACCCTCCTTTCTAAGTATTGCAGACGCGGAACCATCCGCCACTGGGCCTTATCCATCTTCCCCAGTAATATTTCTAGGCCGTTGAAATCAGACGAGTTCCATAAAAAGATCGCTACGAAACTATGGCCCAGGCCCGAGTCAAACGAGCTACTTCTGCCTTCTTTCACAAATTCTTGGAATCAATAGCTAGCAGACGCGGCCGGGCCTCTTTCTCTTACCTAGCAACTCTGATAAACAGAGTTGAAGTTAACATTCTACTCTTTATAAGATTATCCTATGAAGCCTTTTAAACTCCGCTCGGAATCTACCGGACACTTGGCCGCACTTGCATGGTGCCGGTCGCCTTATCCCCTGCTGCGCCGGTGGGTACACGTTGCGCTGGCGCAGCATCCACGTCAACTCTTCCTCTTTATAAATTCGAGTCTATTGCATGTCAAATGTATTTCCTCACTACTCTCATATCATGTCGTTCAAGTCTTCCTCTGGCCCCTCGACCTCTTTCAATATACTCGGATTTTTTTCTCTTATCGGGGGCAATCGTACCTCCACTAGCAACAATAACAAGACCATTTTTTACTGGAACTACAACACAGCTATACAATGCCAAGATGCCACTCGCATCCTTGCCTATATTCAGGTATACAGTCCACCAAGTCAAACCACTCCTCTTCCCGATGGAACGGTTGCTTTTGTGATGGCAAAGGCCATCTTTCCAGCCTCTGTTTCCTCACAGAACCCTGTGGCAATGCATGCTTTGCAATTTGTCGTCCTTCCTGGAGATCCTGCTCAAGACAGTTACAATGTGCGTTCTCAATATCTACGTCTTTGATATACTCCTTCATTCCAGCTCAATGTAGGACCATGTATCTGATCAGCTTCCTGCCTGGGTCTACGGCATAGGACACGTCACTGGAGAGCAACTCACGCTCAATGACGGAAAGAACTCTCGGGTGTTCCCTGTTACTGTCGGGGATTTCGTGCAGAAGTCTGCAAACATTCATTGTCGAGTGGGTTTCACAATCATCTTTGCCGCACTTTATTAACTGACACGATACTCGTCAAAGGTGTGTCTATGATGCAAGCAGCCCCCGTTGGCAGCGGACTCCCGTTCCCAACAATCGCAGCTGCGTGCAATTCATGGGCTCTTCAAGTCTTGCCGAGGCCTATCCACTTCTTCGGGTCGGCTTCTGATTAACGTCGAGAATGTCTGTCTCAATGTCGGCCCCATTGGCGGCATGTCCACATCAACCAGCACATCCGTGTCAACCTTTACACCATCCGACTCATCCTCGACACCAAAGAAACGGAAAATCAATCCTTATCCCACGAACATGGATCAGCCGTCTCCTGCACCATCTATGGGCGTCACAACTACACCACAGCCAGCAATACTGTCATCTACAATCGGCACCACCGACGATCATTATCCGGCCCCCACTACACCATCTTCGGCTACCACCTTACAAAGCCCATTTGCATCGCCTGCCCAGGATCCGCGCTTCGATCCACAGTATCAAGCATATCTGCAGCATTTTAATCCTGCCAATCAACCCCAATTTGTGACGCCGTCTGCTTCCCCATCGCAATATCGGCCCCCAGCTTTTCCCACCCCGTATGCACTTTTATTTGTTTCCTTTCCATGCATTAACGATCCATAGGGAGTCGCCTCCGTTATCACCCACGGTGTCTGCAAACACCTCTGCCTACTTGCGATCAGCAGCCAACCCCTATGCATATCCAATGACACAACCGTATGTTTTCTATTCCAGTCTCTTTAACAACTAACATTTTTATCACAGTACATCTCCTGCAAGCCCCGCTCCTACTCCGATAACGTACGCTTCCATAATTAATAACGACTAACAAACTAACTTCATCTTCAATCAGCCTGTTCCCTCCGATCAAACTGATGTCCCCTCGCCGTTAACCGATGTCGAAGAAGGATCCTCGAAGACGCCCAGTCATTCCACTCGAAAGAGGGCCGATGCGAAACTGAAGGAGAAGTCAAAATAAACTAAAATACTCTTGCTGGTCAGATAAATTGTACAACCATGTTTTCTCTTGAAGAAACCGAACCTCTCATGCCTCTATTGTTTGACTCAACTGATCTCTAACTTCCCCATTATTTCAAAATATAAAAAAGCCGCCATCCCTGGACCCCGTTCAAAACCCCAGCGCATCAACACGTTCACGTCAAGAATTCATATCACACAGCCTAGAAACTGCGCTTCAAATTGTCGAGAACTTTAACTATTTCGACACCTCGGTGATACATCGCCAGTCCAGAGAAGCTGTGCTAATATGACTCGACGCAGTTGCATGACTCAACCTCACTTTCTATTCGACACTTGCAACTGCGGTACACGAGTCCGCGCCATCTTCGTCACTTAGTTACTTCGCTTAGCATTGTGAAACTTCGTGACTTTGATGGGAATTCGTGAAAGTTCGTGATTTTGAACGCTTTCTATGAAAGTTCATGAGTTAGTATTCCGGGCTTGTCAAGCGGCCACTCCTCGGCACATCACGGAGTGATGGGTATCAACAGCTTGCCGAGATTGGCCGGTTGGTTCGGGTTAGCTGGTTAGCGGTTAGAGGTTAGCGGTTAGTGGTTCGGGTTAGCCGGTCAGGGTTAGAGGTTAGTGGTTAGTGGTTAGTGGTTTGTCGTTAGCGGGTAGGGTTAGTGGTTAGTGTTAGGGTAGGGGATCTATATGAAAAAACATTGCTGAAAGAACAATGATGGCCGATGTTCCGGGTTTCTGGACGTGCCGAGTTAAACTGACGAACTTTCACAGAAACCAGGCAATATGACGAACTTTCACACATTCCCATCAAAGTGACGAACTTTCACGTTCCTAACCGAAGTAACTAAGTGACGAAGGTGGGTACGACCCGCGGTACACGTATATGTGAGTATAAAGACTTCCAAATTCCAGCTAAACATGGTCTATCACATCCTATTCCTCCTCCATGTCAGCCATAACTCGCCTTTTTCGCAACAAATTCACTTTTTGTATGACACGAACTCTCTTCCTCTTAACGACATTGATTGATCTTTATCTGATCAGTCAAACAACAGTTCAGCATAGACCCTCTCCAATCCCTTGATTGTGTCAACAACAACATCTACGACGAAATTCTTCGCATTATCAATGATGTCTGGGACACAGGAATCTTCTCAGCCATAGAGCTGCTGCCGCCCTTGCTTGCAGTTTGTTCTGTTTTTGTTACATGGCAATATTTATATTAATTCCCCTTTCCAACAGCATGGCAACAATTTTTATCGGACAGACCGCAGTCTTGAGACGGTCCGCCATGTGAAGACAGCACGGGTGCTATTCATGTGGATGACTGCGACCACAATTATGACGCACTTCATTCATGGCGCTGCCTATGCGGTGCCTTTTTTCATTCCTGCCAGACCGCCATTCCAAGTGCTAGACCTTAGCTATGTTCTTCTCCGCTTCATGGACAAGCACATTCGCGACTCCAACTACACCAGATTTAAACTCATTTCATTCTCATTCAAAATGGACAGCGAGGGCACTTATGGTTTACTCCTTTTTGATGAAAAACTACGGCGCGCATTCAAGAAAGCACAACGACGAGCCGATAATCGGCCAGCCAAGTATAGATCGGAGGAATTTTTACTTCCTCTTTCAACCTGGCCCTCTGACTGCGCAGAACTGCGTGAACCAACTGTCATTTTCAAGCTAAAACAAAATGCAGAGTAAGTCACTTCGTCCCTGAAGAGTTCGAAAATAAACGAATATATCAGGATTTTGGCTAGATCTTGAGTCTCAGTTCCCAGTCAGCTGCTCCTGCTCGACTTTCCCCTTCGGCAAGCCAAAAGTTCCACGTATGATGCTCAGCACTATTTCTACCGCCGTATGCAGTTCCACCTTCATTCCACCCCAATACCAACCCAGCACACCATTGTAACTCACTAACGAGATGCCTTTTGCCGTTTGTGCGTGCCGCCGTTTATCCAACATATTTTTGGGCTCATATATTTACAGACTTTCTTATTTTCTTGCTCTATTCCCCCGTCGCGTCCTTATCCAACCCGTGCATATCAAAATAAAAATTCAAAAACATGAACTTCGGTGAGTTTCCATATTTCCTCACTGATGGCATATCAATATTCTGTGCCAGTTCAA